CAGCCAAGCAGCAGCAGCCCAGCAGCAGCAGAAACAAAGCAGCAGCAGCAGCAGCAGAAACAAAGCAGCAGCAGCAAAGCAGCAGCAGCCAAGCAGCAGCAGCAGCAGCAGCAGAAACAAAGCAGCAGCAGCCAAGCAGCAGCAGCTACCAAGCAGCAGCAGCAGCCAAGCAGCCAAGCAGCAGCAGCAGCAGCAGCCAAAGCAGCCAAGCAGCAGCAGCAGCCAAGCAGCAGCAGCAGCAACAGCAGCAGCTACCAAACAGCAGCAGCATCAACAGCAGCTACCAAGCAGCAGCAGCAGCAGCAGCAGCAGCTACCAAGGAGCAGCAGCATCAACAGCAGCTACCAAGCAGCAGCAGCAGCAGCAGCTACCAAGCAGCAGCATCAACAGCAGCTACCAAGCAGCAGCAGCAGCAGCAGCTACCAAGCAGCAGCAGCATCAACAGCAGCTACCAAGCAGCAGCAGCATCAACAGCAGCTACCAAGCAGCAGCAGCAGCACCACCAGCTACCAAGCAGCAGCAGCAGCAGCTACCAAGCAGCAGCTACCAAGCAGCAGCTACCAAGCAGCACCACCAGCTACCAAGCAGCAGCAGCAGCTACCAAGCAGCAGCTACCAAGCAGCACCACCAGCTACCAAGCAGCAGCAGCAGCTACCAAGCAGCAGCTAACCAAGCAGCAGCAACCAAGCAGCAGCAGCAGCAGCAGCAGCTACCAAGCAGCACCACCAGCTACCAAGCAGCAGCAGGGAAAGCGTGAGCTTTCCTTAGAGTCTTTCGTGCCCGAACATTTGGTCTCGAACAATAGCACATGTAGGTGCTGCCTGAGTAATTGTAGAAGGGCGACGTGGAAAGACAGATATAGCTGATATATATGTTTTTTTCACGAATAGATGCCGACGATGCAGCCAGGAGCGGTGTGCATGATTGACATCTAGGGGTTGTATGCGAACATGTGTCAGCGACCGAAGACTCCGTCGCAATGCTTGTGCATGCTCCCTGTCGCTCGAACATGGAACGCGGACTACCATGAGTGAAGCAAACAGCCCGTTCAAACATCTTACTGGGTTCTGTCATTCATGTGTGAAGTAAGTATCATCTTTTGATCTGCATGGATAGCGGATAGTGCATTCTGATTTGTACTCTTGGGTTGTGGGGTGGGTACATGCCTACACAAGCTTCTTAAGGATATAATGAAATTAGCATCGTTTCACGACTCAAAGGGAATGCAACTACTCTCGATTCTAACGAATAGGCTTTCTTCAGCACCAACAGCAGCCAACAACCCCAAACAGCAACAGCAGCAAAACGGAGCAGACAACAAGCAGCAGGCAGCCATGCAAGCAGCAAGCAGCAGCAACCAGCAAGCAGCCAAGAGCATCCAGCAGCACCAAGCATGCAAGCAGCAAGCAGCAGCAGCAGCAGCAGCGACCAAGCAGCAGCAGCAGGTACCGAGGAGGAGAAGGGTGGAGTTGAACCCCGCGAGGGGGGGGGGGGTGTAGTCCTGATGTATCAGGTAATAGCACTCAAGTCCTGGGCTCCCACCCTCCTTGCTAAAGCAAGACAGACTCCAGCTAGCTACAGCTAGCTTTCGTGAATACGCATCAACTCATATCTTGTATTCTCTAGATTTCTTCCTGGTCCAGTCCAACCAAGAGGCTGCAACAACATGGAACAAACTGCCTACCCTACCCTCCCCTCCCCTCGTCTCTCACAAGGTCGAGTGACATGTTGCGGAGGGCCGCCTCCATGGTTGTCGGCTCCAGCGGTGCCCAACGGCCCAAGGACGAGAAATACCAAGAATCGCTGAGAGAATACGGCGCGGCGCAGAATGCGGTACTGTGACACGGCTATACACGGCTCGTGAGACCGAATCTCCAAATGGATATACGGTTTTTGAGGGCCAAAAGAACCGACAGTCTGCAACTAGTCACCAGTCCTGTCTTTTGTGAATTTATCATCGTGTTTGCACCAATCACACACTAACTTGTGGAACAAATCGTAAGGTTGCGCCCGCCTAGTGGAGGATAAACACATTTAAATAAAGACTTTGACAGTGACAGTGGACAGTGACAGTGGACGATGATGGTTAGGTTGCAGGCCTCCCTGTAAAATGTTGTAATTGTTCACCGACTGTTGCAGGTATTAGGATAGACCCCATAAAGGCTCATCATTCCTACCCTGCAGGCATCGCAAGGCCCGAAGGCCGACCACAGTCCCTCTTCCTGACCAATCTTCGACCGAAATCTCTCCGTCCGACTCAGGCTCCGCCAAACGAGACGCGTCCGCTTCCAATTTGGGCGGGTCGTGAGTCGGAATGCGGCCCCCAAAACATCACCAAACCAGAAACATCATGTATCGAAACATGCCGAAAACATCACCCCGATTCAGTGAGACTAAGGGGCTCTAGTAAGAATTGCATCCCAGGATATCCCCGTACAGCGTACAGATTCGACATGGTCACGTTCAAAGGTGGAGTGGATCGGCACGGGTTTGGTATTCCACCACTTAGCGGGCGTGACAAATGATGAGAACCCTAGCCCCTCAAAGGGATCTCATCATCAGACCGTCCTCCTTCCCCTTTCCGCGCGAGGATCAGTTGGGTCTCCAGGTCGTTCAGCCGCAGGGCCCAGCCCTCACGCTGGGCCTCATCGCAGTCGACGCCTGGTCAGAACTGGTGGGTGACGTGCAGTGGTTTCAGAGTAGATCACAAGCCCCAAGATGTCTTTTGGACAAGAAGCTAGTAGAAACAAGTGCCACGCTACTAGGAACAAGTGCCTTACTAGTAGTAACAAGAAGCTATTATGTCTTTTGGACATCTACTACAAAGAGAGTCTCCCAAATGAATATGACCTACATTCACCACCAACATGCATCCAATGGATCGTCTGGGAAATGAACATCATGGACAACACATTCCAAACCAGCAGCAATACCCGGCCATTCCAGGAAGTACAACTCTGGTGGTCAAGATCCTGCCTGGTTCGAGATCGTAGGAGAAACAAGGCCAAACATATGCGTTCAGAACGGCAAAAACAGCACTTGTGACATCTTGTGACCTGTCCTCCCCTCTATTGAACCGTTCACATTAGAAACAAGAAGCTATTAGAAACAATATATACCCATATTCCTTTCAGCCAGTTGGATCCACCTCCACTCCGCCCGAGCCCATTTGCCTTGGACCGTGGCATCCTCGGTCTGCACCGCAGCTTGCACGACGCGCTCATCCTCTTCAGGCAGGGAGCGCTCCTGCGGTCCGCCCGGTGGTTCCGGGCTTTGGCAGCAGTGGCTAAATGTAAATCATGGCCCAATCATGGCCCACCTAATATATTTTCCCTCCTGCGAAGAGTCAAACAGTTAGCATCTTTCCATATCTTGCCACAATAACCCCTGCAACCCCCGAAGCTCTTTGGCAAAAGGAGAAGACATATATAACAAAACAATTTTTCCTGGATCTGATTACTGTAGCCATAGCCCACAGCGGCTCAAGCTGTTCCCACGCTTCGCCATGCTTCTCCTGTTCCACCGCAACCTCCTCTGCCCTTCTCTCCTTAAACAAACAAGGGCTTTGGCACGATGCATGCATGACAAGCAGGGATCAGTTGGAGCCCGGATTGACCCGCCTTCAAGCAGGTACAGCACTTGAGGCAGTCCGGAGGGTTGGCCAATTCGGAGGCCGCACCTGGCCCAGCTAGGTATATCATAGGTTCAACATGGTTCAAGTTTCGGGTTGAATGGGTCGGTGACCAAATCCATATCCAAACGTAGAACATTGGTGTTTCGGTGTTTCACGTGTGTCTACAAACACACCCCAACTTGTTGTTGACAAAGGCTTGGTGACGCTATTGAGAACCATCAATCATTGTAGGCTTGCCGGCGGCTTGCCGTGCTACCGTGCTACCGGTAGCACGGTTTGCGGACGTGCATGGCTCTGTGAGGTCCCCCACCAGCAATGAACGCAAACCTCAGTGGCGACCACCGGTTTGTAGTGTTTTTCCGACGGTTTTTTTAAACGTGGTCTCACAGTGCGATGTACGCGTCATGATGCGTGAGTGAGGCTGGGAGTTTAGAGATTACGACAGGGCCGTGAGAACCGACAGGGCCATCAAAAAGAAACACGTTCCTGCGGAAGTGAAGCCAAAGAAGACCAGGCTCATCCAATGTTGTTTGGGGGGAGTATGTATACTTCAACAAAGAAGGCAGGCAGCAAAGGGTTCCAAATGGACCTAGTTTGGCCGATGGCAGTTCGGCTTCGGGTCGCGCTCTTCCCTCGGCACCGGGCCATGCAGCTTCTGTTGTAGCTCCAGAGCTTCTTCTTCGGCTTCAGCACGCAAGCGTGCCTGTAAGAACGGGGCTGGACCCTTCTTTTGAGGAAAAGAAAAGGCAATTCAGTCTATTGTACAGTTGGCTGATGAGTGTCATGCCAAACGTGCCCCAGTCCCCAGTGCTTCTCTTCCATTTGGTCACCTCACAGGTGATTGCTTCTTCAACGCCTTTAGTCTCGGCCGGTTTCGCTTTGGCCTCCTGCGCCACCTCCACTGAGAGGCGGAAGTGTTCGCCCTCCAAGCGTGACAGGACCTGCACGCAAGCGCAAAGGTTTGACTGGGACATGTCCATTTTGAAGGCAACAAAGCTTCGCATCTCAACACAAAAGGCAGGGGGAGTGAGATGTGTTGGACAATGTTGGACAACTGGGTAAGAAGCATAAACCAGTTGCATTGTCTGATTGATCTCTGAGCTGTCCCATGACTTTTCGACCTGACTTTCCCACTGGCCGAGAAGGAAAGCCTGTTGTTTGGACCCACGCAGTTGTTGAGTTATTGTAAACTCACCAGCACACACAGTAGAATTTGACCTCCTTTAGTCGATATTCGTGTGTAGCATGGAAACATCTATGCCAGTTGCAGGTTGTACGCTGACTCTGGAAGTTGCAGTGGCATGATATGGCATGATCATATGATATTTTCCGATACCTCACACGCATATATATAATACCTCACACACGATGTGAGTCACATATACTTCCAGTTCGTGTACCAACCGCTTCCCCCTTTCCTGATTCCATTGCAGGTTCATGCGCTCAGGTTCCTCTGCGTTCGGTCAGGTCACACCGACCCCACCGGCAGCGACCTCGGCCACCTGTTCGTCGCGGCGCAAGGCCTCCGCCAGCCTCACCTTGGGGAGCTGAGACCGGGTGAACCACGATGGAGTGAACCACGTGGTTTGGTGAACCAAGTGGTTCGTGATGGTTTTGGGATGTTTTTGGATGGTCTTCCGACCAAAAGACCGCAAAGACATACAACAAAAACACACCGGCGGAGTGTGTGTGTGTGTGTGTGTGTTTTAAGCTTTGAAAGGACTGCACTGGGTCGATGGTTTCTTCCACCAAAGTCAGTACCATCCACACACACACACACACATGCACAGCACCTGTGGCTCCGGCTGCTTCGACTTCGCCTCAGGTGCCCGGCATGCGATTCCCACTCACCAGGAAACTTAAGTGCATGGGGATGGGTCATGAATGCTATTTTGACTGGTCATGAGTTCTTTTTCGTCTTCTCACCATGCTGATTGCCATGTCCTCCTATTCCCAATATCACAGCAGTTGCCGACCCAGCCCAGGCAGTTAGCTGATGGAGTCTAACCCGTCTTACCCCGAAAGATTGCCGTCCTAGATAGTCCCGCCGTTGCAGTCCCAACGTTGGGATCGCGCCCGCCGCGCCGTGATTGGAGGGTGTCGCAGGGGAAGGAGGTGGAGGGGCTGGAACTACGCAGACCTCCAGAAGTTGTCGCGCTGAGATCATCCAGGGCAATTACAACACTTTTGGGACCTTTAGGACCTTCTTGATGATGTGGTTCATTCTGTGAGCGCCCTCCTGACCCGCGTGTGCCAAGCAGCCTTCATATTCAACCACGCCTTCCTGTGACATTCTGTGACCATTCCCCCTGCCCCAGTCTGCTCCTAGTTCTCAGCCCTGTGTGATGCCATGGCACGCTGCAGCCCCTCGCGCGCGCTTTGGGCGCTGCTGGCCGCTGCGTCCTTGGCAGAGGCCTCGGAGCAGCGCCCCGCGACGACGACGACAAGTAAGTACGGTAACAAGAAGAATTTAATTAGAATTGTAAATGCTAGCTTCTTGTTACTACTAGTAAGGCACTTGTTACTAGAAGCGATGCACTTGTTACTAGTAGCTTCTTGTTAATGGGTATCGGAGGGCCCACGCGGCTCTAAGCGGCTCTGAATCAAAACCTCTCACGGTCTATCGGCGTTCATGGTCCACCGGTGTTGGTCCGGGTCGCCCCACCGCATCACGTTGCGCTTGCTTCGCTTCGAGCGTCATCTCGTGGAGCGAGGAGCGCAGCATGGCCTGGGTGAGATCGGGATAGAGTTATGGGTCTGGGAGCCATCAAAGGAATTGTCTGGAGCGGGCCATATCCCTCATTTTTAGAATGGGAGATGCTATATAGGAGAATGGTGTGGATTACGTTTTGTGGAGGTCTGCTTTTTGAGAGTCTTTTTTGCCTCAAACTTGGTCTAATGAGTCATCCCAACTATAGTGTCCTCTTCAACCACCCCGTAAAAAATGGTAAAATGGGGGGGTTCTGGGGAGTTCTTGTTCATCAACCACCTCGTTGATTTTTCTTGGCTCTAGAAAATTTGTGTTGAGCCTTTGTCGTTTTTCTGAGGTCTTGCTATGCGTGGTTTAGGGTCATAACTTTCACTATCATTGCTATAATTCAACGAGGTGGATGATTGTTTAGGTTGTTGTGTTTTGTTTTGTGGTGTTTTGTTTTTTTTTGGCCTTAATGC